CCTTGTCTAACTCACCAAATGTCAAAATTCACTATTCCGAATAATTTCAGGCAAGTCACTTAAATGTCCCTGAAACTCAGATATATCCTATAAATATATTTCACATTTTTTTTACTCACTGAGGAACACACAGATCAATGAAACTGCACCACCCAGGCTACTAACCAAAAAGTTGGTTGTTCGAATCCACCCAAAGACCCCTTGAAACTGAAGGGTCATAGCCATTGAAAACCCTATGGAGTATAATTCTACTCTGACAAACACAGGGTCTCCAAGAGTTGGAATCAACTAGATGGCAGCTAGTATTTTTGTTTGTTTTTCCTGTTGTTTTGGAAATAAGAAACAGGGTCTCTGCCTGCTTTGTAGAAATAACAATTGATCAGGAAGACAGCATTGAATAATTAAATATAAATGTTAAGGAAAAAAAGAACTGGGCAATCTGTTTAAGGGAGCATTAAAAAGCCCTGGTGGAGCAGTGGTTAAGAGCTTGGCTGCTAACCAAAAGGTCAGCAGCTGGAATCCATCACCTGCTCCTTGGAAACCCTATGGGGCTGTTCTACTCTGTCCTATAGGGTCACTATGAGTAGGAATCGACTCGAAGGCAATGGGTTTTGGAAGCTAGTCTTGGATGTTAAGGAGATTACCCCCAAGGAAATTTAATTTATATTCTGTTCCCTCTCTTCCCTTTCAGCTACCTCTGCAATCCTTACAGCCATGCAGGCTTTATTTCCTGAATTTTACGATATCCCAATCATAGTGAAGGACAGCTATCACAGAGCATGTGAATTGCCACAGATCGTGCAGTTATATGCCTGCGAATGTGACAGCGACCACATGTGCTTTTACTCTAGTACCACCAGCATACACACCGGGGACATCAGCTCCGTTACCAGTGACGTATATGGGTCTGTCACTGATGACCAAATTGGGGAATCAAATGTTGGTCTCGGCCCTACAGGGATTGGCATGATCATTTTGGGCCTCTTACTGCTGCTTCGTAAGTACTTGATTAAATCCTT